AGACTGACAGTATGTTTTGGAAATATTTTTCTGTCTAATAACTGAAGAACAACAAAGTTGACTTATTTTGTATCAGACCAACTTTTAATGTATGTGGAATGGTCTGCTATTTTTGCAATAATTGTATAGATTAATTGGGGAAATTATTAGTATAATTACTCGTATTCTGGCGTTGTAGAGGTAGTTTATAACGCGCACCAGTTTCTGTTGTTAATAAAAAAATCTCACGAAGAATCGATATTGCTTTAGTGGGAAATTTAAATCAGTAATGAGGGAGTTGCTTCATGCCTTACGCAACAATCCAAATGCTTTACTTACATATGTGATTAAATTACATCACACGAAAATTCCAACATATTTCTGATCCTTTTTTATTACAGTACTTAATGTGAATTATTATACCTACTTGAACAATGGACCAACAAGCGATAAACAATTGAATTCGCATTGGTATGCCAAAATGAACGCGATAAAATCATTAAAACAGTAACACTTAAAAATATGTCGTTGTCGCGTGCATACAAGAAGTCATTATGCATTTTATGTGTTTTGTTATAGCGTTATTTCGACGATAATATTATAACAAAACGAACAGCTGTTGCATCGGCTTATCGAACAAGAGATCTGTTATTGGTTTCCGCTTGCATTCCCTAGATTGTCCACTCTCAGTGGATCGATTGTGGCTGATATAATAATACTACACAGCCGGTGGCCACCCAGACTCCGCGTAACTTGACACCCCGATTGACAAAGAAAACCATAGAGCTGACGAGTGTACTTAAATAAGTTCGGTAAACCGATATTGCATTCATTATAACTTTTCATTGACTTTAAAAGCCATTTATTTCAGTTTAATGCGTGAAATGCAATCGTTCTCATTTATTTTGTCGCTTTTTGTGTGAGCGTTATTTGAAAATAATCTTAAGTGGAAAACTAAAACTATTTTTCTTTTTTATTTAATAGTATTGATTTTACTTTGAAATGTATAAGATGTTTATGTTTATAAAGTAATTTAAATCTGATTGGTTGATTGTATTCAGCATGGGTTAGCTATTATATAGAGACGTTTAACATCAAAAAAATTGATACAATCAAATTTGAAGTTACGTTGTATTTTCCGTTTCGCAATTTATTGAATATACATACTCAAATTGATCTCAAAGTACTGAGTTATTGGCAAAATCTCTGACATATCAATGGAACCATAGAAGCTAGAAAAAAAAAGAATATAAACCTGAAAAACACCATGGTAACCCCAACTACATACCTACATTTATAATTTCACTTTAATTTCAATAAAATATAACCTATGTCACTCAGGATTTTCAGGATCGGCTTAGCATTTACAGATTATTTATAAAATACAATGAAACATTTTTTTTTTCTTTTTATAATATTATAAATATCAAATTTTAGCACTGGCGTACAACGTCAATGGTGCATTGCAATGCAACCGTCGTTATCAGCTGCCCCACGCGTTCTTTGTTCCTTCATCGCGTATCGACCGATTCGTACATCACCCGCTAATAATAAACTCTAGCCGATGAATGGAAGTACCGCGCCCATTGATGTCTCAACGGTCGATTGTCTTGCGACATCCACGCCCAATTCGATTCTTCTGCTCGTTTCGACTGCGAACGAACGCTCTGGTGACGTTAATAACGATGACTTTTCTTCTGCTTATTTAGTTTCGTTTAAACACCTGTACGGAGTAGGCTGTTGGCCACCAATAACGGCGTAATCTTTTATTAAACTAGTTGTGGGCGAGATGCATTTAAAAAACTTGTTTTGAATTAAATTTACCTATGTTGTATACACATAACATAGGATCAATGGTCATGATGTAAAGGATCATGTTCTTCAGTTATTTATAATTAAACTAGCGAACTGGATCGCCGTTGTCCTGTACCAACTTGACTTTAATTCGACAACTTAGGAATAAAAAAGAAAATTGTAGTGGACCAAATTTTGAATCTAAACCATCCAGGGCGCCACCCAAACGCATACGAAAAAAAAATCATTCAAATCAGTCCAGCCGTTTACGAGGAGTTCAGTGATAACACACGTACAGCAGAATTATATATATAAAGATTGAAAAATATAATTATTTTGAGTGTAAAATGTTACTTGTGGGTTATCCATGAATATATAAAGGCACTCCAGTAGAAAACCGATCTTTGGTGGTCTAACCCAAAATATAACTAAAATTAACTAGAAACGTCATCGATGACATCTACTGTGTTGGAGCGTTTGACTAATACATATTATCACGCGATCGAATATCAGTAACGTGCAGCGATGTATATTAACGTTTTGTTCATTTCCTATGTGCCAAATTCACTGTCGCATTTTGTATGTACGCTGACAAGACTACCTTTTGTTACTTTAAGAGGAAACTTTATCCGTTCATCCGTTATGGGTTAAACACGAGAGAGTTGTTGTAGACAACAAACATAAGCCAATTTTAAATACAAGTATTAAACGTGTTATATCACGTATTTTCTTAATTTTAGACGTTTCGTTAAACATTATGCCTCTACCACAGATCACATGACCGAATAAGTTCAATAAAGGTCTTCAGTTTAACATTTGTTTTCTGAATAACCTTAGTAAATAAGGCACAGAGTTTGAAAGTATGCTTATGACGTTTTTTCACCGCGACCAATTATTCCAAGAATTTGAGATTTAGTCGGAAATCTGCTATCTGTGCGGAAGCTTGGGTTCACACGGTTATCAATGAAACATATTTTACCTCTTATGTTTTTTCTTTATGTAGCCAGTATTTTTTTATGAAATAAATGTTGGATTAAGCAGTATCATATCGTGTATTATTTTGTTTTTAATAATCCGTCTAAAAAGTTCACAAATGTGTCTATTATAAGTTGTACAAACGGAAAAAAATATTAAAAATAAAATGGAAAAAAGGTCGTGATAATTATTGTGCAAAATAACAGAAATAAACTTTAATATAATTCAATTTGATCTTGATGGTATATCTATTTTACAACAAAATGAGGTCTCGCGCAATTCACACGCTTATTTTATTTTCTTATGAAGATTACAATAAAAGGAATTAGACATGTTATGTGCACGACATGACCCCTGGTTTTAAAACCCGTGATCCCTCGTTATCCAATGTCCCGTCACTGCGTATAGCGAATTTGTTTAAGTTTATTTGCCTCGATTTATTTATACTTTGTTTGTGTCCTTTTAATGTTTTTTTAACATTGATATTTATCGTGAATTTACATAATTATGTTTTATCTTACTCTCTGAGCTTCACCAAAAATCACCATCACGAAGTATTGTCGTGCAAAATTTCGTAATTTAAAGCATTGTGGATCCGTTCTGATGCATTTTTAATTTTTGTACATAACTACCTCTTACCCGCGGCGTCGTCGGCCAGCTTCTTTTGAAGCAATAATTTGTTTAGGGTGTAAATGTATCCCTTTGTGTAATTTGGACTAGTAGACGTTTCTACTATCTAGTGTAGTCTAGTCAAAATAACATTTAAATCTTCAATTCGCTATGACGTAGCGAGTGGAGTAAACACAAACTTTGCAACTTTTAAATACGTTTTTTCTTTAATAACGATTTTCCTATTCTTGTATCCACTTTAAATTTTTGTAGAAAAAAGGAACGAAAAGTTTTTCGCCGCTGTGGGAATCGAACCCAATTCAACAACAAACAAACAAACGAAAAACTTCTCGTTCCTTTTTTTCTACAAAATTTTAATGTTCAATCTTAGTTATTTTTATTAATCTGTGCAGAGATTAGCACTATAATTTTTTTAATTTGTGTCCATTTATTATTTCTTTCGACCTTTTTTTCTGATGTTCTATTGGGGTAATTGAATGATCGCATCTCGGGTGCGGCGGACGTCGATCAGGGGACCCGGCGCCGTCTGGATAGGGCCTAATAGGGCTTTTAGATATGGGCGCACAGCTAGACGTGACGAATGCAGTTCGAATCGAGGTTTTCGAGACCAGTTTTCTTTTTTTTATGTAAGATAGGATTTTTAAGGAAGATTAAAAGTATATTTTAACGTTGCTCACCCATCAGCGTCCTCTGTAACACTTTTTTATGTGTGACGGTGGCAGGCGTCCGGTTCACCAGATGTTAAGTGATGATCGCCCCCGGATGTTAATGTGCAAAGAGCATATATTCACATTTTCCATAAAATCATTTTCGAGCACTTTATCCACGGCAATAGAAGTGTAGCAACAATAACTAATACCTAATAACAAAGGGTGTAATGTGTTGTGTTAAAAAGTTGCACTGCAATCCTCATAACCGTGGATTTTGTTTTAATTGTCAAGTCTAACTTTGGTCACAGGTTGGATTTTCATGTATTGAAATGTCCACAGGACATTGCTTACATTATACCTTATTAGTACAACACAATAAATGTCGCTTTTGTATATCGCATTTACGACTGTTTTGAGTGTCCCCACGTTGGAGTCCTTATTTCGAGAGCGTAAGGATCGGCACGTGCGTCTTTCGAATTTGGTGCAAACATCAAGACCGAGCGTTTTATCTGAAAACGCTTGTGGATATAAAAGTGAACTGTCGATAAAATGTAAAATGACACAGGTATCTTCAATTAATAGGAAATATATTTGGCGCACCTTATCGTGAAGAACCATCTAGGATCTTGGAACTCGCAGTCAGATGTCGCAATTGACGTTATAAACGCTATGTTTGTTAGTTTATCTGTTGGAAAGTAACGGAGCGAGAATCGATGAGACTTTTTGGGTATAAATAGTTTATCGGAAAGTTTCATGGACTGTACTTTGTAATTATTTACTATTTTAGCACTTCCATTGCATCATCGATGTAAGAAGTCGTAGAAGAGTATCATTGACATAGTAAACATTTGTGGCGATTGACCAATGGAGTTGAAATCGATGCGAGTAACGCGGGGCCAGTCTCCCATCGCTTGCGCCCGCTATCCGTAACACAGGAAGCGATGCGCAATTGGCGCTGACGATGAGGAATTAGAGCGCCCGCGCCGGACGGCGTTCATTGGCTCCCGAGGCGCGCTGGCGCCACGTCGGCCGGTTTTTGTTCTCGGCTTTTCCAACGATTTCGGTGCACGGGGAAACGAAAACGCCACGGTCCGCATGCCGCATCACGACGGCCCGTATCCAGCAATCCCCTCATTTTGTTAATGCACGCATGTCCACATGTGTGAAAATGCTTAGGTACGCGTATACAAGGTACAGAGTAACACAGTAGGCGTATCGGTGCCATGGTCTGCATGTCGAACCACGACGACCCATAGCTAGGAATCCCCTCATTTTGTTAATGCACGCATGTCCACATGCGTGTCACTGCTTATATACGCGTATACAAGGTACAGAGTACCACAGTCGGGGCGTTAGTGCCATGGTCTGCATGCCGGACCACGACGACCCATAGCTAGGAATCGCCTCATTTTGTTTATGCACGCATGTCCACATGCGTGTCACTAATATTTAAATTAGATAGGCGTATAAAAGGTACATTCAGGCGGCGCATCGGTGCCACGATCCGCAAGCCCGACCCCGACGGCCCGTTGCGAGCAATCAACTCATTTTGTTAATGCACGAATGTCCACATGCTTGACATTGCTTAAATAAGCGTATAAAAGGTACAGAGTTACACAGTCGGCGCATTAGTGCAACGGTCTGCATTGCGGACCAAGACGAGACATAGCCAGCAATGCCCTCATTTTGTTAATGCACGCATGTCCACATGCATGACATAGCTACGGACTGAAACCGCAAACATCTCTCATGATAGAGGCGAGACTATTTCGGATTCATTGCGAAAAATCGGGTTAAAAAAAGAACAACATAAATAATCTGTACCAAGGCTGGCAGCGAGCTTAGTCCGTCATGAGACTGTTGTATTCGCATTAAAAATGTATAAAGTGGCTTCATTAAATATCCATAACAATGTGTTAATTGGCGCAAATAAAACAACATCATAGGTACACTGAAAAGAACAAACTCATATGGAGTGGATGGAGCGGACTTACTTGATAAGTGAACATTAGTGTCTTAAAAGTGAAAAGACTTTCCAGTGCCTTTAATTAAGACTACATCGCTACTTATTACTAGGTGGGATAATACTCAAGCACTTGCCAGTTCGTAGCTAAAAAAATTTTAAAGTTATCTTAGGTTATCGCAGTCCATTTCCAAAACTGATGTCCATAACACTTAATGAAAGTGTGTTCTTATAATTACGGATTTCTGTACTGCCTTCTCTTAGGGACACTCCCTAAAAGAATCTGGAAATATCTTTTTGCGATCGCTATCATTATTAAAACCAAATGAGATCACGAAAAGAATATACCCAATATGTATCTCTCAATTCCTCCATTTGCATCTACCTACTCTCGAATCAAAAAATAAATATTTCGTATAAAACTGCTTTCGTTTTAACAAAAAGATATCTTCCATTATATCTCACAAGTTTAGACAAAATTATATTTTTAGAGTTCGGTAAACATAACTTTTATGTACATATTTGTAAATTTTTATGCAACTCATTTAATGTAAAATGTCAATCTTTATATACCTATATAATTCTACTGTACGTGTGTTGTCACTGAACTCCTCCTAAATGGCTGGAGAGATTTAAATGATTTTTTGTAAGAGTTTGGGTGGTGTCTCGGATGGTTTAGATTCACAATTCGTTTTTTTTTTTATTTATAAGTTGTTATCGGATTTAAGTCGTGTGTACAGGACAACGTCTGCCCAGTCCGTTAGTCTTCTATAAAATTTGTCACAAGTTTGACATTGTAATAACAGAAATCCAAATAGAAATGATAAATATATCAATTTGTTTTTGTTATTTATGTGTTAAACACAATCTCGATGCAAATCTTCATAGGGCGATGCGCGAATTGACAAAAGCAAGACACGATCACACTCTGAAAGGCACTTCGTCGGGGCGAAAGTTCACGAGGCGTCCGCAACGACATCAGCGGCGACGCTCGTAATTTAATAATCAAACGGCATCAATAAGCGGAGGAAATCTGTCGGGATTAAGCGCGGGCGCATATATCAGCGTTAGCGCACCGACGGGCGTCTGGCGCCACTGGATCGTCCTCTTCCTTCGGACGCACAGATTGTCCTCGCCGCTCATCGGCCCCATCCTGTTGTGAAATGTCCGCCGCGATCGCTCGCGTCTTCGAATTCAAATTCTGAACGCCGGCGTGCACGCTTCGAGAACGTTCCAGTCAGTTTAGAAATTTCACATTTTATAATCTATGGAATTGCTTAATATAGATTTTTTTTTGCTAAGAATTTATAGCACGCCAGATATTTTATCATAGTCGTCAAAGGCGGGAAATCCATCGTAACCTATTGTCAGAATTTTACTATCTATTGACTAATACTGTAATTTCTTGCACATTGTACCGCTTTCATTATTACGTATCATATCATATAATCTAGACATACTTAGTTGTGTTAAAAAATTATGCCAGCCTAATACAAAATCGTATACTTTAAATGTATGTCACATAAATCGGCGCTTCGATTAAGAAGCGCGAATTTCTCAACCGACATTTGGAATATTAATCATAATTATGTTTTCAATTAACGAAATTGAATTTGTACATCGCTCAATCAAATACAAGGTATTACATGTAATTACATGCGATAAACGCAATTATCGGGGGCGTTATCTTGTATCTGCGGCAGTGATTACTGAAACGACAGGCGATAAAGAATTATCGAGGAAAAAATATTTCGACTGATGTGTCCTTATTTGTGAGTGGAATTTTTAGTAAAAGTTAAACTTTATTAGTAAAAGTTATTCATGTGTGATGTACTGTTGTATCGGCACGATTGGGAAATGAGCATATCTGCGTAGATATAGGGTCGTGGAGCACACAAGAAACAAAGCGTGAAAATAAGTATGCATATAAAGGCAGTGTATGTACCCGCTTAGATGAATAGCTAAATGTTTATATACCTATACAGTTCATACGTTCATATTAATGGTACGCCTCCGTTTAATAAATATAAATGTGGGGGAAATGACTCAAATCACCGATGGAATGGGTTAGCTATATCTATATAGTATTTTTAACCGACTTCAAAAAAGGAGGAGGTTTCTCAATTCGTATAGGTACATTTTTTTATGTGTGTTCGTTGATAACTTTGTCGTTAATGAACCGATTTTGATGATTCTTTTTTTGTCGGAAAGGAGATATCCCAAGGGTGGTACCATGATAAGGAAACCCGGATGTGATGATGACATCCCAGAGAAATCGAGTGCCATCATTGAATGTTATAGGTATTAACAAAGTTTTTAATTTTCTGATTGAAGTCGGTTTTTTTTTTGTTAAAAATTATACTTGTTTAAAGTTGTTTTTGTCGGCACGCTATAACTTCCATAAATCATTCATCAAATTAAATGATTCAAACAACATTTTGTTTTCCACTATTGACGAAAAATAGACATATTATAGAATAAAGTAATATTTACATACAAATATATTATGATAATTGTCAATTGAAGATAATGACAATTTAAATGTTATGCTATTCAATTATTTCATAAACGTTCAATTGCACAGTATTTTCGAAAATTTCGCGCGGGTTTGAAGTTTAGATTTAATTCTAAATGTGTACATTAGTTTGGATGTTGCACGAATGGGCAGGTCCGGCCGGGTAACCACAACCTCACAGAAGACCGATGTGAAGTGTAATTGTCATACTTATGAGTTTCGTCTGGTGAGTGAGGTAGCCAGCCCAATTTATTATAAGGTGGCGCTTATCATTAAAAATCAGGTGAACAGCCAGCTCAGCCCAGCAAATAAAAAAAATTCTAAAAATATAACACGAACCATTTAAAAAAAATGTGAGAGTTAATAACAATAACCTTGTTAATAATAATAACCTTGGATCAAATGTGGCCAACAAATTGTGGATTTAATTAATTTAGAACATCCGTGACGTCAGGTTGCTTTAGCCTTAAGCCATTACGCTAAGTTAGTCCGGTGCGCCTCAATTGACCGGCGCTTTAAATTGTACCGCTTTCGTATTAATTGGATATTTCCAGTTAACTTTTATTCCGCACTCAATACATGGCCACCATTTCAATTACTTCAAGCTTAGTCTACACGCGCAAGTCGCATCGTCTAATAAAGGACAGTCGAGCGCAAAATGCCCTAAGAATTAGTCAATTGAAACGGTATAGCTATGCAGTTGTTTATTAAACCCATTTATTTTATACACGATGGTACAGTCGCATCAAATTAACACATTTTTTTCGTGTTTGTCGTGTCACACTATCGTTGTGAACTCTAATACTACATATATACGTTGTTATAACAGAACACAATATAAGATATTATGTAACTAAGATTAGGAAGTAGAAAAACAAAAAAGAAACAATTTGCTGAATCATCCCTTAGCTGCATTCTAAGCAAAACATATTATTTATACAAACACAGATACATTCCAGAGACATGATGTTGCGGGTAGCGGAATCAATTCCTGCGCAAAACATGTATTGACGCAAATATATAATTTCTTCCTGTACACTCTATTTTGTCTACTCTGTAACTCCCTTTTACTAATTATAGAATAAACCAAACCGTGGACGCGTTAGCAACGTCTGATTCATCCGTAATAATTAGTATATGGACTGAAAACAAGGAAGTGGCCTAATTGCAAACGCTGTGTTTGCCACAATTAGACCACAAATTTTACCATCAAAGCACACCATACAAATTTATGAGGAATGAATATTTTTTCTACATTAATTATTGTTTTCTACTTCTTAAAAACTTACTTGAATCTTGTGTTATGGCTACGAGGCAATTAATATTTAAAAAACATACTTAAAACATTATATATCTTTACACATATAATTCTTCTGTACGTGCGTATGCCACTGAACTCCTCCTAAACGGCTGGACTGAGAATGGTTTAGATTCACAATCCGGAACACTACAAACTTTTTTAATTGTTTTTATTTACAAGTTGTGGGATTTAAGTCGTGTGTACAGGGCAACGTCTATTGGGTCCGCTAGTATATATATGTACACACAATATTAATCACGCTATTTAACTCCAGCCTCTTCTCACTGTTCATTTTTATTCATGGAATATATACGTTAAACTACCTTAATACACATGTTATTTTTTATTATTAGCACATGCACGACCATCGGCTGCTGTACAATAAAAAAAAATATAATGCCGCAGAATTACTTCTAGTATCCAGGCTGGTAAATATTCTTAACGAGGGAATTTATTCAAAATAAAGTAGTATCGTGGGACAGGCTAAAATGAGACAAAACGGTTTTGACTTAAGATATAATAAATAATAGTTTAAAATTAAGTTCAATTATATAGTTTAAAATTAAGTTTAATTCAATTTAATTGAGGAGTGGAGCTATGCTGGTAGTCTGGTTGTGGTAAAGAAGTCAATGCCCGTCCAATCAGAAGATGTCCTGGGGTCAGTGGTGTGCAATCTGCAGGGTCTGAAGACAGCGGAGTGAGGGGTCGAGAGTTCAAGATTGCTTCAATCTGAGTCAGTGTAGTGTAAAGTTCCTCATAAGTAAGGTGACAATTGCCCAACACTCTAAGCAAATGATGTTTTGTCGACTTGACTCCCGCCTCCCAGAGACCGCCGAAGTGAGGAGTATATGCCGGAATGAAATGAAAATTAATGTTCTCATTGGCCATACTTTCGCTCAATAAGTTGCATTTGCTTTTTAAGAATTTTGATAAATCATTGTATGCACCAACAAATGAGGTTCCGTTATCGGAATAAATATTAATGGGTTTACCCCTTCGAGAAATAAATCTACGTAATGCCAGCAAATAGTTATTACTTGTTAAGTCACCTACTAACTCCAAGTGAATAGCCTTGGTAGTAAAGCAGATGAAAATACAAATATAAACTTTAACTATCCGACACCCGCGACCCTGACGAGAGGCACTCATAATTGGACCCGCGTAGTCAACTCCTACGCTTTCAAAAGGAAAGCCACCTGAAAGGAGACGCTGCTCTGGTAAATTGCCCATAAGTGGGGTCAAGATCTTACCCTTCATGCGATGGCATCGCACACATTTATGATAACATGCCTTCGCTAGGTTTCGCCCTCCTCCTATGGGCCAATAAGTGTCTCTAATGCATGCTAACAGTAGCTGTGGACCGGCATGCATCAACCTTTTGTGCTCATGATCAAACAACAATTTCGTGAACCTATGAGTGGACTGTAAAAGTATAGGATGCTTCTTATCGTATGAAAAATTTGAATTATCTAATCGACCCCCGACACGCATTATTCTTTTTTCATCTAAAAATACATTAAATTTAATAAGGGGACTTTTCTTAGGTAAGTTTTTATTGCTCAAAAGTAATCTGTACTCCGGGAAGGAATCATTTTGGCTTCTCGAAATTACGATATTTAACGCGTTTCGTAGTTCATCGTCTGTTAAGAATAAAGCCGTAAATACCTCTTTTTTACAGGACCTTATAAATCGCAAAGCATAGGCAACGGTACGTAGAAGGCGTAAATAATTCGAAAAACGACTAAAATCGATAAAACACTCATTAATTTCTGTATTATTAAAATTAACGGCTAATGAAACATTATGACGAATTTCAGGCAATATTTCAACGTGGTTAGGCTGAGAAGGCCATTCTGATGAGTCATGCTTCAAAAAATCAGGACCCGACCACCATAAATCAAGACCTGGCAGGACACTAATATCCACACCACGAGATATTAGGTCTGCTGGGTTCTCATCAGTTGGGACATGTCTCCATTGACGGTCACCAACCTTTTCTAAAATTTCAGCAACTCTATTGCGTACAAAAGGCTGAAGCTTACTAGGTAACATTTTCAACCATCCTAAGACAATAGTGGAGTCTGACCAAAAGCAGACTTGATCAATCTTAACACGTAGCGAGTAAACAACCTTTTCATAAAGACGAGCCCCTACCAAGGCACCGCACAACTCCAGTCGTGGTATTGTTATCGGTTTTATTGGCGCTACACGACTTTTAGACATTAATAATCGAATCGTAACCTCTCCTTTGTTATTAATGCTTCGAACATAAACGCACGCACCATATGCGCGCTCAGACGCATCAGTGAAAATATGTAACTCTAGCACCTTGTATGACACACAAATAATCATACGAGGAACGCGAATGTTATTAATAATAGGCATATGTTTGATGATGTCATACCAAAGCCTTTTAATGTCTGGAGTCAGGGGCTCATCCCATGAAAGCTTGTCTAGCCATAACCTTTGCATCAACATTTTCATGGTGATGACATAAGGAGCCATAAGACCTAAGGGGTCAAAGACTTGCGAAATTACCGAAAGCAGGGCACGTTTGCTGTTGCCATCGGGAATTAATGAATTTAATGGAAAGTGAAGCTCATCCGAATCAGAATACCAGCCAAGACCTAACAACTTGTTTGACTCACAAGATCCAATATTTAAATTTAGTGATGCCTGCGCGAGCTTTGGTAGTAGTTCAGGTTCGTTTGATCTCCACTTTCGTAATGGCATACAGGCAGAGGCTAATACAGCTGTGACTTCTTGACGAATAACTTTAACGCTATCTAAGTCATCACCACCTGTAAGCAGGTCATCGACATAGAAGTCGTGCATTATTATTTCACCTATGTCTTTATTTGTACACTCAAGACCGAGTTGTTTAAGGCAGCGCGTTGCAAGGAATGGCGCACTCGCCGTACCGTAAGTGACGGTGTTTAATTTAAAAATCTTAACAGAATCACGGAGATTGTCCCGCCAGACGATCTGCTGTAGTCGCCGGTCATCGGGATGGACGCTTATACATCTATACATTTTCTGCACATCGGCAGACAAAACGTACCTATGCTGCCTGAAACGTAAGAGTATCGACAACAAATCGTCCTGAACAACAGGACCGACCATCTGTATTTCATTTAAAGAAATACCTGACGATGTAGGGAAACTTGCATTAAAAACCACTCTGAGTTTAGTCGTCGTGCTACTTTCACGTAGCACTCCGTGATGTGGTATAAAATATGAACCTACACCCGAATAAGGCATTTCACATACAGTCATATGGCCTAGTGCCTGATACTCAAACATGAAATCATAATACATATGTTTGGTGTCCGGTTTACGGTTTAATCTACGCTCCAAAGAAAATAAGCAACGCGTAACTCTTTTAAATGACTCTCCTAAAAGCGCAGGATCTTGTTTGAGTGGTAAACGGACTTGAAAACGTCCATCAGCGAGACGTGACGTATTTTTGACAAAATGATCTTCACACAACTTCTCTTCCGATGAATAATAAGATGTTTTGGAACTTATTTCTTCTAACTGCCAAAACCGCGTTAAATCAGCTTGAACGTCATTAATTTTATCATCATAATAAGATTCAGTTTTGGCAAAATTACACTTTACTGTATTATTTGTCGCAAATGCAGCATGAGTATTACTAATGGGGCCAGAGACTATCCACCCTAGCCTGGTTTCCTGCAGCACGGGCTGATCAATGCCTAGCCTAATTCTCTGTGACCCCAACAAATCCCAAAAGAGATCAGCACCGATTAAAATATCTATTTCGGCAGGTTTATAAAATGTGGGGTCAGCAAAGACAATGTTAGACGGTAGCTTTAGATCCGATAAATTTAATTCGCGACTTGGGACATTACTCGTAATAGATGGCAAAATAAAACAATGAAGGTTAGCAGCATAACTATTATCTAATGACTTTAAATATACACTGCACCTTTTGCCTACGTAAGAAGTCACGTTATTTATGCCCAAAATCGACCTATCTATCTCTACAAAATCTAAATTTAATCGATGGCGCATAGTCTCCGTTATAAAGCTAGACGTGCTACCACTGTCTAATATTGCGCGGGCGACGTGCTCAACATGATTGCAATCTAGCACTTTAATCAAGGCGGTCGATAATAATACGTCTTGTTGTTGGCTATGATGCGCGACGTTCGTAGATAACACTACGCTGTTTACACCAGTGGTTGCGGCAGGCGTCACGGACGAGTGTGTTCCGCTTGTTGCACTCTCTATAGATCGATTGTCTACGCTACGCACGTTCTCACCTACCTTCGGTCCCGCGACGTGTATGAGAGTGTTGTGTCGACGCTTACATAGTTTGCACCCTGGCTTTTTACAATGGTTCGCATAATGTCCTGTTTTAAAACAATTGTAACAAATCTTATAAGACGGAAGTAACTTCAACCTAGCCTCATTGCTGAGTGCGAGAAACTGTGGACAATTGACTAAATTGTGATCTCCATTGCATTTCAGACAAGAGCTTTTAGGTGAATCTGCATTAGGGTTACATGAGTGCTGTACCGAAACCATGGACTTTAATTTAAGATTCGACTTATTCGACACCGAATGAATGTTACGCGACATTTCCAACGTTTCGATTAAATCTGCCCGGTTACGCATAAACTCAAGAAACAAATCAAATGTAAGCGATTCATCTTTATTTAGACGACCCTTAAACTCCTCCCACTCACGGTAGGTTTTCTGATCTAGTTTGTGCGTAACTATATAGATAAGAAGCGTGTCCCAATGCTTTACAGGCTCGCCCAAAGACTCCAATGCGCGAAGGTTTTTACTTAACAGGTCAATTAAACGTTTTAATGTGACAGAGGACTCTTTAGTAATAGTTTCGATATTAAATAAGGCTGAAACATGATTCTGAATTAACAATCTCTTATTGTTAAACCTCTCACACAAAACGTTCCATGCCACGGTGTAGTTATTGGCAGAAAATTCAAATGACTGAATGACCACAGCAGCAGACCCTTCCAGAGACGCACGCAAATAATGAAATTTGTTAATTTCATCTATCTCGTCATTAGAGTGAATAAGGCTATTGAAGGTATCATGAAACTCCAACCAGTTCTCATACGATCCACTGAATTTTGGCAATTGTATAGTAGGCAACTTAACAAGTCTGTGATTACTGGACCTAGAACACTTGTCACTACATGCCGACTCGTCAGCTTTATGATAATCACTCAATAAATTCTGAGCTTTGGCTAGCGCTTTGTAATATTGGGATTCAAAGCTTGAACGCTCCGTTAATTGTATGTCGAGTTTATCGACAATACATTCCAGACGTAACTGAACCTCATCATATTGGTTATACAATGTATCCAGCTTACCCATACGCAATTGCAATTCCGTCGCGTCATGATTTTGTAAAGGTGTTGTCAGCGAATCTAAGTAACTGATAAAAGCAGTTAAACGGCCTTTAAAACTACCTCGCTTCTTAATCAATTCCTTTTCCTCAGTCATTCTGGAAGACGAGAGTATTCGACCTGGAATGTATACAATAATAAATGTATATAAGCTAACTTCGACGGCTATGTAAATACTTAACTACACAACGCAGTTAATATGTAGGTACTCACACGAAAATATTAATCAAGTAGTGAAATGGTAAGATATTCGGTACACAAGTAATAAATAATCAATCAATGTTCTATATACTAGTTATACGATTAATTTGCCTAGAAAATATAATTATTTTTATTATTACGGTGGGATTTAATTTGAAAACTTATAAAGGCTATAAGGTATATAATAACAAAATTTACCTATATACTACAATTATTTCTACGATTAGATTCCTACTGCATAGCTTTATTTAAAGTGATTGACTAATGTAAATAATCAAAATAATGTAGCTTTACCGCTAACTGTATTTTTACAATACTATTTTGTCTTATTTACTGCAAAGTATTACAAACTTGCTAATGTTAACCACAATACAAATAGGTAATAATTTAAGATAATCGATTGAAACAGTATATAATAATAAATGCGACTAACCTTATAAGTCCAGTGATTTACAATAAATACTAGTACCTTAATTAGAGCGTTGGGTGATAAAAATAATAACTAAATCCACACTTTTACACCGCGTAATTACTGCAAATTGATCCACATCTATGTTGCTGCCTCCGTAATCCAAATATAATTTTCAAAAAAAGCTCCTCTTTTAACGATATTATAGAACAAATTCTGGTTCTTTTAATTTTATATCCGGCGATGATCCAGGACCATGTTGGAGTATATAAGGATTTTAAATAGGGAAAGGGTTTAAAATGATGCAACTAGATAGTTAACTTCGGACGATTCTTACTATGTATTAAAACGAATGACAACGAGGGTAAATAATAAAACATAAGGAGGATTAACAACCTGTCTTAAAATTAACTTAATCTAACACTCGAAAACATTGCCTGGACGAAAGACGCAGGCGCTTTAACAAGATTAACAATAAAATATTTTAATTTAGAAAAGTGTGGAGTTTAAGCATTCCGCACTAAAATCAATCGTTACCTATAATGCCTATTTTAATAACGGATCTGAAAATCCTGATCAAGATAATTGGACAAAGTATTTAAGTTATTGCATTGTTCTCGGTCCTTGATAAGAGTGCAATGTTTCAATTTAATTTGACGTTTTGAATTGGGTCAAAATCTCATTCGAAGATTCCGTTACAAACAAACATAACAAGCTATTAAAGTATTAAAGCAGTTAAAAGTTAAGAGTAATCCTTTCAATTTGATGGCACATACAACAGTTTCGCTTCTTTTTTTATTGATAACAATGACACATAACATTTTATAATACTGACAAATATTAACTAAGTTATATATAAGATACGTTATCTCAAAAACTTAGCCCGCTTAAGCTTTTCAACTTACTTAACGTTATTTAAAAGAAATAAAATTCAAAGATTTAATTTTTTTTAAGGTGTAACGGCCAGCGAAGCACTACGCAACGGCATCTGCCAGTCGCTATGGGGCTCGTCAGTCCCTCGTCCGGAGCCAAGGCACGCTTCTCCTCCCCCACCACAGAGCCACGATTCGTATCACATCAGAGGTGAGACTTTTTTGTAATACAACCTTTCCTGTTCGATATTCAAATGCAAATTGTCTAAATTTAAATAAAAAGTTTATAGCGTTTGACTAGATCGGGAAAAGAATAAACAATATTGAATGTATCACTTAACATGAAAAAGATAAATATTTAAAGATTTAACGAAGTATCTCAGAGATTGTCAGTGTCAAAAGTTTTCACTTTTGAGGTTAGAGATTAGTTCGATTTTCTAACAGTGACGTTAATTTAACAGATGATAAAATAATAAATTACTTAAAAATAACTTTAACACGTGCAATTATGTTACTATAATAAATATATTATGTAACTATATTAAATATCTTGTTTAATTGGAAACGAAATCTTTTAAATCTTAAAGAAAGAGTAAAAGAAAGTAATTTTCTTCAGATTTTTAAAATAAAAGATAAAACTATCATTAGAATTTTGATATTAAAATAAAGTAGTGGACCCAGGAATGATCCTTGCGGTATCCTTGAAAATATTGTTGTTTTTGCGGACGTGAATCACATGTGATTAAATATTGATTTATCTCGTTCTGACAAGACGACAACATATTAAACACAGTAAGCTTGCCGCGCGCGTCCGCTGATCGTATTCCAATAACGGTGGGTTTCACCAAATCCCACGGCTTCAGATTTCGGCCTGACATATCTTATCGCGGGCCGACAGCGCGTATCGCTGGCGAAATTACGTTTGTTTTATGACTCTGATTTGCCGGCGGCGGCGACAAAGCGCTCGTCGATAGATACCGTATATCGACAGTTTAAACGCTCGCCCCGCGTTATGATGGTTGTAATTCATATATCGAACACGAATTTCGATATCAGCGATAACGGTAGCGTTGGAGCATTCGACGTTGTTCAATTTAAATATATATAGTTGGGTTTTGTTATTTAACTAAAAGTAAAAAAAGTAAAGTCACGCGAACTTTAAACAGCCTAAACATGTCCCACTGCTGGGCAAAGGCCTCCTCTATACAGAGGGCATAGTCCACCACGCGGCCCCACTGCGGATTGGCGGACTTCACATATCTTCGAAAAATATTTTTTTTTGTTATTATTTCGAAAATATGCAGGTTTCCTCACGATGTTTTCCTTCACCGCGAAGCACGTAATAAGTCAGCACTTAAAGTTAAAAACTTCATTGGTGGCGGCACCGGGGATCGAATTCAAATTGCTCGAGTATATTGCCACAGAGGCGAGCGCCCGAACACTGAGCTATCTAGGCTAGACGCTAGACAAAAGCCCAGGGCCATACGCCGGCCCCGGAGGAGTTGGGGGAGCGCAGGGATCGCCTGCGCTCAAGGGCCATCGGGGAGTGGGAGCAGAGGCTGGAGCACCCCAGTGCCGGCCTAAGAACCGTAGAGCACGCACTGGAGAAGTGCTCAGCCTGGACGGAGCAGCGCCGAGAGCTATGCGCTATCGTGGGGCACGACCTCTCGCTGCCAGCCGTGGTTCGCGCTATGGTTGACAGCGAGAGAGCGTGGGGTGCTGTCCTCGCATATTGCGAGGACGTTATCACCCGGAAGGGGGGCGCGGAGAGAGAAAGGGAGGCAACTGCCACCCAGGAAATCCGCCGCCGGAGACCAGGGCGCAGGAGGCTGGCCTACGCGCGCAACCTTCCCCCCTGATAGCGAGACCCTGAGCGGCAGACATGGTCTGTCGCTCAATATGGGGCTCGAGACGTGTGCTGTGCCAATTGCACCGGCACAGCACGATACAGTAGAGGAGGCCTAAACAGGGCCATAGTCGCGCCGGGGTCGCGGAAGATTGCGTCCACGTGTTCCCGTGTCCCCGGCCGATGTTTTGGGGTGGGTTTTTTAGTGGGTACCCGTTTCTCACCGGGACTCCCACATACCCCTGCCACTCCCCCGATCCAGTGGTAGGGGATCCATAAAGGATTTTTCCCACAAAAAAATAGACGCTAGACGCTAGACACTCCAATTTCTCCAGAGCAATAAAGATACTGGGTGGTGGATAATGTGTGTATGGGCGCAAATAAACAAATTAGCTGAACATTAAAATTTGCAGAACTGTGTCATCTTAAGTGCAGAGATTAGCACTATGTACAACTGTGGTAGGGCCACGCGACAGATTCGGCTGTTGCACGAATCGATGGGTCCGCCCGGGTAAATACCACGATTTCACAGAAGACCGGCGTGGAGTCGCATACTTATGCGTTTCGTCTGGTGAGTGAGGTAGCCGGGGCCCACTTTTTTATACGGGTGTTGCAAATGTCCATGGGCTGCAGTCATCACTTAATATCAGGTGAACCGCCAGCTCGCTTACCAACTTCTCACATAAAAAAATGAAATTCAAGCTGGTTACAGATGTCAATCTAGATTAAATTGATGACACTGTAATAATTTACTCCTGATTGACTAAGTGTAATTGATGCAATAAGAACTAGAACGTAGATTTAGTTTTATCTTTTATGTATCTTATCTTTTAACAAAGTAAGATTTGTAATAAATATTCAAATTGGCGTTCACTAAATGCATTTTTAGAATTGAAAAATCGGTCTTTTACTGCTGACCGTCCTCTGCCCTCGTCTCGACACGTTGTAAATCCGATTTGGACATGTGTACCCTTGTAAGCAAACATTAGTTTACAAGATAGCGTTTTGTAATCCATGTGTTTGGAATGTATGGATTGTACAGGACATGTCCGAACTCGAAATATTACTGATATGATGGAAGTTAAAATAAATTTAAAAAAAATGCTGGTTCACAAATATTTTCATTAATCCATAGATTTTTAGATTGATGTAAGATAATTTTTGATTGTTAGACATATGAGGTGTACAAATTGATAGCTTATCTAAAAAAAACACGATACCATTTTATGTAATAAAAAACAATATAACATAAACGCTCCCACCTGCCTAAGGCTTCAGCAGAGTTTACAAATTTAAAATTTCCTCGATCCTGTTAAATCTTTTATACCACGAAAGTAACAAATAATATTATTTGAAATTACAAACCGTTTTAAAATCTCCTTACCTTCTACATCGAAAATATGATGATGGATCGTTATATGGATGACAAACGGCTCTTCATAACATAGAGAGAAGTTTGTTAACATATTATAACGTAGTGCTTTATCAACCAAACAAGAAAATTATGTGTTATCGATCGTTCATTCATATTCAATGTTTCAGTCGAGCTGATTCATTCACTTGAACAAACGCGTAACGAACGGTAGTCAGTCAAGATTAAGGTGACCACAAAGTTCAATCAATCAAAGGGTAACATTCGTGCGCGCCAACCTGGTGTGTCAATGTTTGCCGCGCGGCCACAATGTCTCCCTGCAGCCCCATGCCCCATGTTTACCCTATTATTCACGTCTTTGTTTGGCCAGCTATAGCGGAGCCACTCTATAACCTTACTGTTTAAAGTTCGCGTGACACCGCGTCGTGACCGCGGATAGGTTACATTGTGCTTTTGTTCCGAACTGAATCGTCTATTTCTGTACCGTTAACCTCTATCAAAAATCTTAGCATAAAACGCAGTGAATATGCAAGATATTAATGACAGAAGAGATAGATGAAATAACGTGAGATCTCCGCACATGAACGATATTGTCCACACAGGAAATCTAAATGGGTTAATAACTTAATGAGTGTATTCTAAAATGTAATCCGCCGTTACAACGAAAAAACTCATTTACGAAGAGAGGCCTTGTAAACTTAGCCATAATCACAAATCTAGACGTACTTAAATAGCAATTATCAAAGCAGAATTTAATCTCAAAGGTGCCGCGAGGGACATTTCGTCAATGTTTACAAGACGGCAAACTTTAGAAATGTCACTTTGAAATCCATTCGTGACACTTTAGAAACTTTATCCCGTAGCGATACGGCCCACGCAGATTGAATGTAAAGCGTTTTAGGAGTACACTCAAATTGGTTTACGACATTAACACACACGAAGCGTGCTATTGTTTCAGCAAATAATTCGTGGAAACATCTAGAAGAGAAATCGGGACGCGCACACAAGAATGCCGCGAGGGATTGCTTAGACAAAGTCTATTCGTCTCCCTAGAAACGAAATAAAGCTGAATAAGTTGTGACATCAATATTGTAACACTTTGACATCACAATTTTGTAATAAAATCAAAGTACTGCGTAATAACAAAGGTTTCCAGTGTTTTCAAACATTCAACAAAAGATAACGATTTGTATCGATATTACGATATTATTGATGATATATGTGTATTTTAAAACATGACTGACATTTTCTGAAGAATCCTAGACATGAACACAATTAAAAAAGAAAAGGAATATAGGGGAACTGACTAACTAATTTATCGACATTTAGACATCCGAATATCACAAGACTAATATTTTGGAAGTTCTTTTTTAAGATTTCGTACAAAGGGTACAAAGTAGGTACTAAGACTCCGCTGTCTATCTGTCTGTCTCTCTATATGTCTGTCTGTCTGTCCGTCTGACACCAGGCTGTATCTCATGAACCGTGATAGTTGGACAGTTGAAATGTTCACAGATGATATATTTTTGTTACCACTATAACAACAAATACTGAAAAACAGTGTAAAAAAATATATAAGTGGGGCTCCCATACAACAGACATGATGTTTTTTCCGTTTTTGTAGATAATGTTAAGGAAGTCTGGCACTAGCTAAGTGTGTTTTTTTAATCCATTGAAATTATTAATAGGCAAAACTATTCAAAATAAAAATCGATAGGTATTAATAGGTTTAAAACTAATAATCAATATTATCTCGACGAATCACAAAATTTTTCAGAAGATTATAATATATGGTGTGGAAGAAGCTGTAGATTAACACACTATATCAATAAATAAGTACAACGCTCCGTAAAATTTTGACTGAAGCAAGTTTTTTACCACCTAAGACATAACTTGTAATAACCCAGTAAGACTTTTTTTAGTCGTGAACTTGTTTAAAAAGTCACTTAACTATTACCGCAACGCATAGCATCAGTATAAGGAGAGTAAAATA